ACCAAGGGTCGTTAGCCAGATCGTTTGCAGACGCCCTATCTTCTGGCCGTAAACGCAAGCACCTCTTCACGAACGAAGTCGCAGCCTCAATCTCCACTTTGCCATCAGGAAATATGGAGAGGCTCGCAAGCGACACACGTAGTGGCAGACTAGGCTCGAGATATGAAGTAGTAAAGTACGCAAATATGCCTAGTTATGATAGTGTTTTAAGACGTGATTGGAGCCGCTGCTAATAGATTGCCCACCGTCTTCTTTGAAGTATAGGCTGGAGTGTTTGCCCTTTTAATCATTTCAATCGGAAACTCCTCGAGTGCTTCGACCATACGAGCCAAATGGTCCTCCGTACGACTCCACGTCGGGTTTGTGGTTGCTTCAAACAGCCAACAACCGATCATATACTCCGTCGTCTTCAAAGGCCATTTCTAGCACACAAGCACACAGGAAGCTCTGGAGCACGCACCAAACATCCTACGCTCCAGGTGTCCGCTGGAGTATCCCATCCGCGCCCTAGAATAACTTCAGGAGCACGTAATGCGAAAGGTTGGATTTCTTCTTGGAAATGGCGGTCTCGCCAATACGCTACCATTATATGCTAACGTTAGTCAAGTGCGCACATTTTTGACTAAGCAGGAGCTGGCGTACAGTGTCCAAAATGGGCGATGACTGCGTCCACAAGGTCACCGCTCGGGTGGGCGTCACCAGCTCTCATGCTGAGAACTTGCGTTTGGACAGGTACTACGGGCGGACGAACGTTGGTGACACACCCATAGGTCAGTGAGGGCTCATACACCAAGGCCGCATAGACGACTGAATTGACGTCGGCTGGCCTGAAAATAATATTTTCCGGCTTGAGATCTGGAAGCCTTATAATCGATATGCTTCTCACGAAAGGACAGAAGCCACGTACCGGTGTGTACTATATTGCATGATCTATGAAGATAGTCGAGCCCAAGTAGAACATTTTTGACAATTCCCTTGACGTACGAGGGATGAAGACGCCAATCACCCTCGGAACCTGCCTTCTAGAAGAAATCCACGCTGAGTGCTAGGACCTCGGCTACGATGCAACAGTGCCCATCAAATTCCAAGTCATTGTAGAATTCTATAACATGTTGTCTACCGGGATGGGATCTATCGCCGTCGACGATTTTGCGGAGCAAGCTGATTTCGTCTGAACGTTCATATTTAAAAGCAGATGTAGCCTCGCAAGTCATGATATTGAGAGATACCAACCGATCCAACCTGCATAAAATATTGGATTAAGTACGGCGGTTGCAGGTAAGCCACCTACTTGCGGTCTCGGGCGAGCCAAACGCTGGAGTACTCCCCCCAACCCAACTTCCAAACTATCACATGCTTCCCCTCCCCAACAGCCTGACCCAACCAAGCAGGAAGATAGTCAGGTCGAGATTTTTTATCGAACCTCAGATCTTCCTCGAGAAAGGGCATATAATCAGAGGAGCATGCACTGTGCCAGATAAACATGCGGAAAGTCAGTAAGAAACGACCTTATGACATCCGATCGGAAACGTGCCAGAAACTGATGTGTGTCATCCCAGCTTCTCCGACTTCCCCAAGTGGCGGATCAGAAGCGTACCGAAAACGGTCTATCTAATCGTCCGGGTCAAATGGTTTCCGGACGCTTAGATAGACCGATTTGGGTACGTTATGTCAGAAAAGCTGTTTCATGCGGAATTTCAGAACGTCTACATCTTACAGAGATGTTGTGTGAACACTGCCCGTAGACATGATGCGCGGCCTGCTGATCGAGAATAAAAATTTGGGTGCCGCCGCCCGCGTAGTCGGATGGAGTTCTAGGGGACGACATACAATAGACGGAAGCCGGAGCAGAGTTCGCCGATGTGGTTGCAAAATATATGCGATGATATAGGGACTCCCAAGCTTTGATGAGCGCTCAACCGTCACCCAGCGAGAATAGGAAATTGATGCTATCATTCTGGTAATTTAATAGGATAGGACAGAAAGTTTGAAATAAAGATACATCGTGAATGAACAGTTGCAGACATATGCATATAGCGAGACATAGACCAAGCTGGGTATACGACCGGAGCGATCCGATTGGTACGTCAGGCAGGAAACACGTTTACTTGCTGATGTAGCAGCTGCGCGGTACGGCCGATCAGTTCAGAGTTCGCAAGGGGAAGACACGATAAGAGTGCTCACATAAAGTGCCCGTCGCAGGCGTTCGGGTGACCGTTCCTGCTGCCGTAGTTCAGGCGCCAGCGATTACCCTCGTCGACAAAGTCGTCGGGGTTGCCCAGCGACACATCGCCATGCTGCGCGCCGTTCTTGGGGATGTCTGAGTCGGACGAGTCAGTCGTTGCGACGTAGAGGTCTGAGAGGAGGAATAGACGTACAGCAAATGTAGTGTCCCGGGCAAGCGTTCGGGTGACCGTCGGTGCTACCAAAGTTGAGCTTGAAGCGATTACCCTGGTCAGTCACTAGGTCGGGGTTTCCGTACGAGGTTTCGCGCTTGGAGAGCTGCAAAGCAATATGGATGAGTATTATGGACCAGAAGACGACAAGGAAAACAGGAAACGCACGTTCTCGATAGGAGAAGCGGCGACAAAGGCTGTAGCGGTAGCGACGAAAGCGATGCAGGTAGCAGAGAAGTGCATGATAAAAAGATGTGGATGTAGAGGTGAGATGTTTAAGTGACGCTGGATGCTGGGTGTCGACTTTCTCGGGTTTCAAGCTTTATATACAACAATGTGGTGTAGGATCATCGCAAGCCATACTGAGAGAACCACGCAGCCACAAATGTTGACGAAGAGCCGAACAGCCTGACCCCGCGTTGGCCGCAAACATACAATGACACTGCTGTATCAAGCACATTGAAACAGGCGGATTACTGATCAACAACGCAGCTTATGTGGTCCAATCGGGCTGTGGTTACGCCACTGCATGAGTAACATTTTGCTGCGAGCGAAGGACATCTGTCAGCACGTATGCTGTGCGTATTTGACCCTGTTATGAATAATTGAAAGTCATTCAAATTTTCAAAAAAACAATTAGGATGTTTTCTATTATGATCTATTCCTATGACGAATAGCATATACATAAATATTTACAAGTTTTTACTGGTGCATATGATTACAGATTTTACATGAAGTAAGGAATTAATAGTAAGCACCAGCACCGCTGCCTCAGTATCCAAGGCTGTGCAGGACCCCCTTCCCGCCGAGTTGGCCGTCAACAAGTGAGCTGTTACTGATTGATCTTCATCGGTTTCAATGTGCTTGATACAGCAGTGTCATTGTATGTTTGCGGCCAACGCGGGGTCAGGCTGTTCGGCTCTTCGTCAACATTTGTGGCTGCGTGGTTCTCTCAGTATGGCTTGCGATGATCCTACACCACATTGTTGTATATAAAGCTTGAAACCCGAGAAAGTCGACACCCAGCATCCAGCGTCACTTAAACATCTCACCTCTACATCCACATCTTTTTATCATGCACTTCTCTGCTACCTGCATCGCTTTCGTCGCTACCGCTACAGCCTTTGTCGCCGCTTCTCCTATCGAGAACGTGCGTTTCCTGTTTTCCTTGTCGTCTTCTGGTCCATAATACTCATCCATATTGCTTTGCAGCTCTCCAAGCGCGAAACCTCGTACGGAAACCCCGACCTAGTGACTGACCAGGGTAATCGCTTCAAGCTCAACTTTGGTAGCACCGACGGTCACCCGAACGCTTGCCCGGGACACTACATTTGCTGTACGTCTATTCCTCCTCTCAGACCTCTACGTCGCAACGACTGACTCGTCCGACTCAGACATCCCCAAGAACGGCGCGCAGCATGGCGATGTGTCGCTGGGCAACCCCGACGACTTTGTCGACGAGGGTAATCGCTGGCGCCTGAACTACGGCAGCAGGAACGGTCACCCGAACGCCTGCGACGGGCACTTTATGTGAGCACTCTTATCGTGTCTTCCCCTTGCGAACTCTGAACTGATCGGCCGTACCGCGCAGCTGCTACATCAGCAAGTAAACGTGTTTCCTGCCTGACGTACCAATCGGATCGCTCCGGTCGTATACCCAGCTTGGTCTATGTCTCGCTACATGCATACCTATATATTTGATATTTAATCAATGATATATGCGCACTCGTCATTCAAAATACATGTATTTTATACACATCGTGGACAACCAAGGTTGTGGTGTATGGCGACAATGCCGATATGAACAACAACTTTTGCTACATGCCTATCGTGATATTTGGTTTGGATAGGTCTTGGTTATTTCACCCGAGGCCATACTGCACACCATTTAGCGCATTGATGACATTATCTCGTGAGCTTGAGGTAAAAGCCTTGCTTGGCTTATACACTCATGAAGCTCCGGGATGCGCGGTCCTAACAAATCATTTTTACATCGTTGGTATCGTTACACAAATGCATCACCAGACGACCTACCGAACCGATTCGACTTGGATTTGGGCATATCAGCTTAGAGCCGACTAACGATGGGAAAGCTCTCACAGGCGCCTTTATGCTACTACATGACGACGCCCACGTACTGTCCGATGCTTTGATGCAGCATCTCCCAAAGCATAAATACACTGCCAACACATCCAACCTTGCACCCATTCTCGCCCCACCGTAGTGGGGGTATCACATGTCTGACCACGTTACAGTCGAGCGTTATCCAAATAAGATGAAAATGAGGCATGCAAAGAATATACTATGGAAGGTGGTGACCTTGGAGCAAGGTGACACTATGGGCCAGTTGTGCGAGTCCGATCATGTGCCCAGCGTCGCTCAGTATTCCGCCTTTTTTCGCTCATTCTGGAAGTTTGGACGTTGGATAGACACAGCAATATGAAGAACGGTGTCTCGTACATGGTTTGGATAATGTATTTTACTGAATATATGCGTAGGTAGCTGGATCACGTGGTATTGGCACTCCATTGGGAGTTTTGCATCCCCCACACTCCCGCACGCATTTCTCGCATTCCCAGCGCTCAGAAAGGCAGTAAAAACGTATGACGAGAGTGGGATTCGAACCCACGCTCCGAAGAACTAGATTTCAGGGTTTTAAGCCTTAGTCTAGCGCCTTAGACCGCTTGGCTATCTCGCCTTGTATCTGCCAAGAGTCACGCGCTGGTATTCGCCGCACTTTTGCGGCGATCACCCCACATGACTAGATCTCATCATTGATATCACCAAAACGTCTTTCCTAGCACTCTCGACCACCCCCAAGGAGAATATGGCGGAATTTAGGGAGTTGTATGCGACAGCGGGTATGTTGAGACACCTGATGGCGTTTCGATCGCTCACGCTTGCTTCAACAGACTTTTGTCTTATCCCAATGGGTACAAATGACCCTTCGGCAAGGCTTTTGACCACAGTTACACTGTTTTCAACTTTTTCAACTGACTTTGACTATATGCGTAGGTGGGACCTCAGATTGCCGAGGTATGTGCCCATTGCCTAACAGCGCCACCCCCTCATTATGCTTCGTCAGTGCCAGCGAGTATTGGAAAAGTCTGGATTAACTTACAAGGTGTGTTTATAGCCTCTGTGGTACTCGCCGCAACTCATCTGCGAGATCTCCTTCAGTTGCAGTGCGTATCAACCAAGCACTGATATGCGTATGTTGACTAGCATGCCCCACACAACTACAGTGGATACGGAACAAATCTAGGTGACAATACTTACAGAATGGAAACATAACCCGTTTAACGAGTCTGTTTCGTAGAGGGACCGTGGTCGGCCGTAAGCAAGGCGATTCACGACTGTCACGCTGCCGTGCATGCGCTAGGTGGGCACGTGACCCCGAGCAAGCGCACTTAATTAGCTGATATATTCGCTCAGGTACACCACGAGTCGCCACAGACATAAGAATAGGAACACGGGTAGATAAGCAAATTGCTCCTGGGACGGGCAACGACGGCAAGGTCCAAAGGGTGTTGGATATTCTCGCGGCTGACAAAAAGTGAAATCGGATTATATGGGAAAAGAAGCATTTGGACAGAGTGTAAATGGGGAAAGGTGCAAGAATTCAACATGAACTAAAACCTGAAGACAGTTCAGCCCCTGCTAGCACGGATCGACATTGTTTGTAGATACATGTTTGTAACCAATAACGACAGTTCACGTGATCGTCGCGTTCCTGTAAACAACCGCCGCACCTGCCATGGCCCTCCAAGTTACCTCACGCGATATTCAATACACCGAAGAAAAAGGCACGTCAAAAGCATCATATAACACGCATATCAACTGAAAATAAATCCGGCTGCAGAAAAAATCAAAGACTTTTTCAACAAGTTTGAAGGTAGCACGGAGAAAGATGTCACGCGTGGTTTCGACGAGCTAGATTTGAACGAAGACGAGGAGGGAGGGGCTGCGCCTGAAGGATTCCTTAGGATGAAATATGGAAAGCAGCTGGTGAGTATGTGTGATCGATGGTTAGCTCGCGCTGAATTGGTTGTAGATGCGGATTGCGAACAGGCAACAATCGACACTAGTGATTGAACTTGAGGACATACTCGAGGTAGATTCGAATGTATCAGTCTCTAAACTTAGGCTTACCATGAAATAGTATGAACGAACAGGAGCCGAGCTGGTTACACGCATCAAGACCAATGTTCGACGATACACCCAACTCTTTTGTGAAGTTGTCGATGAAATGATGCCCGAGCCGACCCGAGACATCACATACATGGACGACGTGCTGGATACGATCATGTCTCAACGAGCTCAGGTGAATGCAGAAAACGAAGAGGCTGGCCAACCTGGATTCCCTGCCGAACTCCTGAGGCGATAGTGAGCACTCTGTATTGTTTGTTGACCCAATCTAACATTGAACATCAGCGACCTATACTTCCAACCTCTCTCGTCTGACGTAGCTCTGGCAGTTCGTGACGTCCGAGGCAAACACCTCGGCCAACTGATCACGGTTCGAGGCATCGTAACCCGAATTAGCGAAGTCAAACCCCTCCTGCTCGTAAACGCCTATACTTGTGACAAGTGCGGTGCCGAAATCTTCCAAAATATCTCCCAAAGGCAGTTCACGCCGCTCTCGGATTGCCCTTCAAACGCATGCAAAAACGGAGTCGGGCGCGGATCGTTGCATATGCAGACCCGTGCCAGTCGGTTTAGCGCTTTCCAAGAGGCGAGGATTCAAGAGATGGCCGATCAGGTTCCGGTTGGGCATATTCCGCGCTCGATGGTCGTTCATCTCTATGGAGGACGAACGAGAGCGATGACACCAGGCGATGTGGTTCATGTTGGAGGAGCGTTTTTGCCCACGCCGTATACTGGCTTCCAGGCGATTCGGGCCGGGCTGTTGACGGATACCTATCTCGAGGCACACTCGGTTATTCAACTTCGGAAGCAGTACGACGAGATGGAGATGACGGGCGAAATTCAGATGGGCATCGAACGGCTGAAGCGCGATCCGACGTTGTATAGCAAACTTGCGGCGAGTATCGCTCCCGAAATTTATGGACACGAAGACGTCAAAAAGGCGCTGCTTTTGCTGCTGGTCGGAGGTGTCACAAAGAATGTTGGCGATGGGATGAAGATTCGTGGAGATATCAATGTTTGCTTGATGGGTGATCCTGGTGTGGCCAAATCTCAACTGTTAAAATATATCTCCAAGGTCGCGCCTCGAGGAGTTTACACCACCGGCAAGGGTAGTTCCGGTGTTGGTCTGACGGCCGCGGTTATGAGGGACCCGGTGACGGATGAAATGGTTTTGGGTGAGTCTATAACTATTTTTATTGAATAAAACTAACGACCGTACAGAGGGTGGCGCACTTGTTCTGGCTGACAATGGAATTTGCTGCATCGACGAGTTTGACAAGATGGAAGAGTCGGATCGAACAGCGATCCATGAAGTCATGGAACAACAAACCATTTCCATCTCCAAAGCTGGTATCACGACCACTTTGAATGCACGCACCTCGATTCTAGCCGCCGCCAACCCTCTTTATGGCCGATACAACATCAAAGTCTCGCCAGTAGAGAATATCAACCTTCCCGCGGCGCTGCTGTCTCGTTTCGATCTAATGTTCTTGATTCTGGATCGGCCGTCGAGAGACGAGGACGAGCGCCTCGCACAACACGTTACACACGTGCATATGCACGGACGTCATCCCGAACTCGAGTTCACACCCGTCGAGCCAACATTGATGAGGTGAGTTACTGGTCCAGGCTGTAGAGTTGAAATTGACTCGGCATAGGCATTTCATCGCACAAGCACGACAACGACGACCGGTGGTTCCCCAAGGCGTGTCTGAATATGTTGTCCAATCCTACGTCCGCCTACGAAAAGAACACAAGGAGCAAGAAGAGGAAAACAAGACGCACTCGTACACCTCGGCTCGAACATTATTGGCGGTGCTTCGCTTGGCACAAGCGCTCGCGCGGCTACGGTTCGCCGAGACCGTCGAGACGGCCGACGTGGACGAAGCGCTGCGGTTGATGGAGGCTAGCAAGGAGAGCTTGGAAGAGAGGACCGAGGATGGTGGTGAAGGCGACCGCACGGCGACAAGCAGGATCTTCAGGCTGATGAAAGGCATGGCGACGAGGCCTACGCGCAGGCGGTTGGGCCGTGGACCGGGTGGCGAACGTAATATGGATGTGGACGATGAGGAAGACGAGAGTGAAATGATGCAAGTCGCGATGGTCGACCTCCGTGCTCGCGTGCTCGCCAAAGGCTTTACAGAGACGCAGCTCATGGACACGATCCAGCAGGTGAGTTCGCCTCGACTGGTATTCCGGGCACGACTAAATAGCCTGACAGTACGAAGCGATCAACATTATTACGCGCTCGGCAAACGGGCAATACGTCCGGTTTGTGGACGCAGACGAGGAATGAGCATGTGTTTGATGTACATACGGGGTGTTTTTGTAATTGGCAATTATGGCATGGTCCTGGGCTTCTCCCCGCTGGCATCCTGAGTACCTTCCCGACTACAATCACCATGCGCTCGACTGGTTTCGCAGCGCTCACACTTGCGCTGGCATTGGGATGCTCAGCGACACCCGCACGAAGAGCGTACGCCACTCACGCGTATTACGTTTTACACCATGATCCTGGCGCTGCGGACGTGTCTTCCGTTGTTGCCGCACTTGGGGCCGAGATTGTCGAGCAGGTCGGCGAGCTCGAAAATCACTGGCTGCTACGCGTACCCAAACATGCTGATCAAGTCGCGCATAAGCGAGCGACGGGATCCGTGCATGGCGTCCGAAGTCTAGAGCCTCAGGTGCTGCGGCAACGAACCAAACGCGGGCCGATACCTCGAGCGGATTTAACGTCTTTTGACAAGATTCGAGCTGCTCTGGACATTAAAGATCCGACGTTCAACAAGCAGTGGCACTTGTTCAACGAGATATCACCCGGAAACGATCTCAATGTGTCTGGAGTATGGGATATGGGGATCACCGGCAAGGGGATCACTGCTTGCATTGTCGATGACGGACTGGACTTTGAGAGCGAGGACCTCGCACCCAACTTTGTGAGTCGTATGGATGACTGCTGCGACTGTTGCTAACACGCCGTAAGTTTGCGGAAGGATCTTTCGACTATAACGACCATGAACCCCTTCCCAAGCCAAAGCTCTCGGATGACCAACACGGCACGCGTTGTGCGGGGGAAGTTGCCGCAGCCAGAAATGATGTCTGTGGGGTTGGAGTAGCATACGACTCGAAAATCGCGGGCGTCCGAATTCTCTCTGGGCCGATATCAGACGCGGACGAAGCTGCTTCGCTCAACTATGCCTACCAGAAAAACGACATTTATTCATGTTCATGGGGCCCGCCTGATGACGGGAGGTCGATGGAGGCACCGAGCTCGCTCATCGAAAAGGCAGTCGTCAACGGCGTGCAAAAGGGTCGCGGTGGGAAAGGCTCCGTGTTTGTATTCGCCAGTGGCAATGGGGCTGGTTCGGACGACCAGTGCAACTTTGATGGTTATACGAATAGCATATTCTCGGTCACTGTCGCTGCCGTCGACGTGAAGGGACTGCATCCGTATTATTCAGAGTCGTGCGCCGCGAACATGATCGTCGCGTATAGTTCAGGAGGCGGCCAAAACATCGTGCGTGTTTTTATGGGGCAGTTTGAGTTTAG